TTCTTGAAGAACACAATCCAAGGAAGTCAATGTGAGTAATTTAGAGAACCCACACTAGGTTCTCTTGAGAACCCATGAGTTTCTCGATCTAGGTTTTCAATCTTAATCTAAGAGGACTCGAGATTGGGGCTTGTTGTCGACCCTCACCAAAAACAGAGTTACAATCAGAGAAGAAGTTAGTCTGGGACAATTTCAATTTTTTTCAAAAAAATTAAGTATTTAATTTTGATGATGATGGAGGGAAAGGAATAGGAATAGAGAAATGATTTTCCCAATTTGTGTTTAAGGTCCATTTTTGGTTAAATGTCAATTTTGGACCCTCAACTTTAGAATTTTGGTATGGTTTTGGTTCTTCAACTTTTATATACACTTTTTTTATCTCTCAACTATGAAAAATATATTTTTTTAATTTTTTATTTAGTTAGTTAGTCCATTAAGAATGTCCATAATACATATTTTTAATCTCTTAACTTTAAATTTTGCATAATCTTCATCCTACAACTTAAAAATTTAGGGATAAAAAAAAAGTGCATAAAAAACTTAAGGGATTAAAACTGTGCAAAAGCCCATAATTGTGGGATCAAAATTGTCATTTAACCTTTATTTTTTACATGGGTATTAATTTGTTTGATTTATAGGAACATTCTCATTTGTGCCTAGCAAGAATCGGCCTCCACATGAAATTTAGGAACTCTTCAGGTCTCTGCAAGCTTGATGAAGAAAAGGAACAATTTGAGATCTTGTACTATGAACTCTGATTTAATCTCCCTTTTTGTTCTTTTTTTTTTTTTGTATTTTTTGGCCAAAAGGGGGGACTCATGAGTTATTTGGACGAAAATTGGACAAGTGGGAATGCCATGGTGGATTAATATCTCAAGGGTGGAGTGAAATGCATAGCAATTTTGGATGGAAGGGTGACGGAAACTTCAAACTTGAGGCACGTGTTAAAGGCGTTACATTGGTGTCAAAACTACACCTGTAGAGTCCAGGGGCTTAAGGTAACACACTTATAATTCAAGAGAAGCCAGTTTCAAATTTAACGAGTTTAGGAGTAAATTAGTAATTTTTGTCGAAATATCTGCATGTAAATGTTACCCCATTTTAGACTTGGAATAAATTTATTACTTTTATGTTTCTTTTAAAAGGATATATCTGATTTCCTAGCCATAAAGAAATACCACTAGCTCTCCTCTTTCCTTTTCTTTTTCCTTTTGATCGTCTTCTTTCCCTTTTATCATTAACAGTGTGGGTCTGAGGGGATGCATTGAGCCGAATTACTTTATGCACTTTCCAGTCACTAACTAGGCTCACATTACTTTCCATTGCCATTCTTTGTTGGATGAATATTTATAATTATTAATTATTAATTAAAAATTGAAATATTAATCTAAATAAAATAAAAAATAGAAATGCAAGTGATTTATTATTAATTTTAAAATAAAATGTGAAATTATAGAAAAAATAGTGATATAGGAATAATATTTTTATATTATATTTTTATATAATTTTTACATATTATTAAATAAATAAATGTAATTAATATTACATGTTTCTAATAAATAAAAAAATAAAAAATTATATAAAGATGTGATAAACAAATTATCTTAAATTATTTGTCTTAAAAAATAATATTAAAGAAGAATACAAGTCAATCTAGTCTGACCCGTAACCTACGTTGGTGGGTCGTGTTGCTCTTTTCGACCCACAAAAAAAATGCCCACCTTTTTTTTTTTGGTGGGCGGTGGGGGGGTGCTGTTTCAGGCAATTTGGGGATAAGGTTATCGGGAGACGTGGTCGGTCGGGTTCGCGAGCCCTAGGTGAAACACTCTTACAAGAGTCCAAGATTGCCACTGGACTACAACCTACTGGATCATTTCACCCATATGTTTAAAGCTTTGCTGTGGCCCAGGAAAAGAGACATAAATTAAGTTGATAGGTCTCGAAACTTTACAATGACTTCGAAAGATGCAACCCTTGGCTTTATTCTTGAGCCATGAATTAAAATTTCTTTCATATCATTATCCTAACTCGAATCCAGCTTAAAATTTCTCAAATCATTATTATTGTTTTTATTGTTTTTTATTCTTGCAGAACAATGGTGAGGAAGCTGGTCATACTTGTGGACTGTTGTGTAATAATCCATATGAATTGAGATCTTGTTGCAATTTTTTCATTTGGTTTGATGATGACTTTGATCCTTGACCTAAGTTTTGAATAACATATTGTTAGGATAAAGAGCAAACACTACTAAATGAGATTTTACAATTGAAAAAGGAGAACCTGGACCTACATAGAGAGATTGATGGTTTGAAGAATTTGAACTGTGAAATGAAAAACAAGCTCAGTGGGATTGAGACAGTTGCTTCAAGTTATTTGAAGCTGAAAAAGTGTTTAATTTATTGTATCTTTATAATTGCTTTTTTGGCAATTAAATTTACAAGATAATTGGTCATAGTCTGCTTTTGTAATAGGTGATGAGCAAGTGCAATATAATGTAGTGCAAGACTGCTTTTGTAATTATATGACTACTTGTTGTAAATATATTGACTCCTATTGTAATTGATCAGTTTATGAATGAAGTATGACTTTTCTGGAAGTGGTTTACTTTCAAAATATGTTTGTGTTTTGAGCATATATAGGGCATAACTTAACAAAAAAACAGGGCTACTCATTGTAGTGAATGCTTATATAGAGCAATACTTAACCACAAAAAAAAAAAAAAAAAAAAAAAGATTGCGTAACAAATGGCATCACATGTGGCAGCATATGTGGAAAAAAAATAGAACAAATGAGTTTAACTGCTGACCGTTTAGAACTTAATGGTCAGCAATGACAGCAACATGAACAGCGTCAGGGAAAAGATGACAATGAACAATAAAAGAGAAGCAGAGGGACGATGTTTGGCTCTTTGGTAGAGTAGAGGGATGACAATGAACATATCCTTAGTAGAGGGACAAAAATGAATAAAATATGAAAGTAGAGGGACGACAATTGGCTTTAAACCATCTAATAATTGCAAACTTTTTAAGCTGTGTGGAGCCAAAGAATGGTAGGACAGTAAGTTCAATGACCCCACAACCATTAGCAACGTCCGGTACCCAAAAATCAGGAAAATTTTGTTTACTATTTTCTAATGGCAGAAGGTGCAATTCAGCCCCTCTACGTCCATTGTTGTGGCGCATCAGCCCCTCTACCTAAAAGTAGAGCAAATCAGCC